TCTGTGCGTGTTGTGACTTGCCTTACTAGAGTCCCAACTTCTAACCAAATTTTAAAAAAATTCATGTGTTTAGTTAACATGAAAGAATGGCTTGTGCAAAATGACTACAAGCTTGAACTTAATTTCTTCTACACCCAATGCTACATTCAAAAGTTGAATTCTAAGTGTTGATTTCATTACTTTGCTTACTATCACTTTAAGAACTTTTGTTTATCCTTAACATTTCTTTGTTAGCCAATACCTTAGCCCCATTACAACCCTTAGACTTCTATCTTGATTGTTATGTGTTTCAATATGTGGAGTTTGAAATTGGTATGAGCATATGGAATCCCTGGTTTTTGCTTCTAAGTAGTGGCATTTCGTTCATGAGATCATATACATGTTGTATTAATAATTCCAAAAAGTGCCTTATTTGTTATAACATATGTGAGTGCTAGTCTATATGTTTACATCAATCTTCTCACATATACTTAGTATAGGGACTGTAGTAAGAAAATCTGTGTGAAAATTGAGAGTATATCCAGTGAGGAATTGAGTGGAATCTCTAAGGCATGTTACTGCATTCAAAATGTTTTAATTGATTAAATGCGAGCTAGTGAGTGGTTATTGCGGTTAAGTATAAACTCGAGGGTAAGGATGGCTAAAATCCATGTGAGTAGTGATTTTTAACATGTCATGTTTCATTGGAAATCCTTAAGGCAATTGTTGGAAGGTTTATGTTTTATTTTGTTTTCTTTGTTTTGCTCGGGGGACTAGCAAAAGCTAAATGTGGGGGAATTTGATATGAGCATATTTATGCAACTTTGTTAGCTTGTTTCTTTGCATTTAGTAAGTTACTTTCTATTTATTAGAGTGTTTTAAGCCATTTTCATGTGTTTGTAGGTCCAAATGGCAAAGTTGGCAAGAAAGGGCATTTTGGAGCAATTTGGGGCAGTTTTGGCTTGGAATGGATAGCTTGCGTATGGAGCACAAGGAATGGACGTTTTTGGTGCTTAAAAGGTGCTAGGAATGTGCCAGGAATCAGGAAGAATTAATGAAGGCTTGGAGTCAACTGAAATCAAGGAGACCTTATCCAAACTAATCTTATCTTATCTTATCATAATCCTATCTTACCTTATCTCCAGCTGCAAGGGGGATAAGATAGGATTAGGATTAGGATAAGATAAGATAAGATAAGATAAGATTAGTTTGGATAAGGTTTGGATAAGATAGGATTGGATAAGGTCTCCTTGTATTCAGCTGATTCCAAGCCTTAATTAATTCTTCTTGATTCCTTGCACATTCGTAGCACCTTTTAAGCACCAAAGACGTCCATTCCTTGTGCTCCATGCACAAGCTATCCATTTCAGGCCAAAACTGCCCCTAATTGTTCCAAAATGCCCTTTCTTGCCAACTTTGCCATTTGGACCTACAAACACATGAAAATGGCTTAAAACACTCTAATAAATAGAAAGTAACTTACTAAATGCAAAGAAACAAGCTAACAAAGTCACATAAATATACTCCTATCACCCAATTTTCATTGCCATATGCCAACATTAGTGGAAGAGAAATTAAGTTCCAACCATCTTTAATTAAGGAAGAAAATAGGCCTCATAGGCAATCTTGGCCTTGGGCCTTGGGCCTTCCCCTTGTACTGGGACGGCATTTGTACTTGCGATATAATCTGCCTACTAAGATAATTGCTCATTGTCCTCAAAATATTCCTTTTGTCCTTACTTGGTTCGTACTATTTTTTATTACAATGAACAGTTTGAGAGTGATGAAGATAAAGTTTCGTTATATTCTGATAAACCTTCCCTTATCCCATTAATTTGCAATAGAAAGGCAAATGGAGCCCAAATGACAAAGTTTTATGTCGTGACAATTTTCAGTAGGGGTGTTATGTGGTTGGTGTGTAGAGCAAAACCAATAAACTGTTGTCACGTTAACACAAGTAAGGTCGGATTAACCAAACAAAAAGGGAAGTTTATGCGTATTTCTGATTTAGAGGCAAAAAAAGGGGGCAACTTTCCCAGGTATTCCTACTAGTCGTCAACTTTTTTATAGCATACAATAGTAGGAGTGAGCATCAATCTGACCGAACCGGCCAAACTAGCCGACCCAAACTGTAGTGGCCAATTTAGTTTGGTTTGACCAAAGAAAAATTCAAATGGTCTAAAAATAGAACCAAAGGATAATGAATTGGTTTGGTTGCAATTTTGAGTTTCTGAAAATTGACTTAAGCTTAACCGGACCGACTACTTACATATTAGAACTTAAATGAACTTAGGTTACAAGTGTAGTCTTTTTGTTAGTTAATAACTACGTATGAATGTTGAATTTGAAGGTTGATTGAACATTAGAGATCATTGAATTGTAACCATATTTGTTATTAAACTCTCAAGGTTGATGTTATATTGAATTTTAGGATGGTTTGTTGCACTAGAAGAAAAATATGTAGCAAATTACTGAGTTTTTGTTAATGCGATTGGGCCAAAAAGTTAAACAAAAATGAAAAAGATAAAATTATTGGGTTTAGGCCCAAACCAACAAAATCAAACCAAACGAAATAATTCAATAGTAGTTTGGTTTGGTTCGTTTTCCTTAAGAACCCTTGTCAAGACCATATCAATCAATCAAACCATTATATTGTAATTGGTTTGGTTATTATTTAGAGGTGAAACCAATAAATCCGAACTATGTCCACCCCTATATGAGGGCATTTGAGTCGTTTTGTAACCCTACTTATGAAAAGAAAATGCTTGCGACAAATTCACCAAATGAAAAGAAGGAAAAAAAAAAAAAAAACTAATTTTATGAAGGTTATTAGTTAATAGAGGTGTTGTTAAAAAATATTATTTATAGACTTATTTATCCTTAATGAATTGCATTTTCTAAATAGGGCATAAACTCTAAAAACTGAAGTATTGTCCTAAACAACTTTAGAGAAATTGTTTAGTTCATTTTAAACTTTTATTTGTGATATTGCATGTTTTTGTACTCATTAACAATTATTACTAGGAGAAGGCGTGTTTCCTTAAGAGCAACTCCATCGTTGCCCTATCCCCTTGGGGATAGGCTTTGCAATTCCCTTTTCCCGCTTAGCAATTCACTCTAGCCCACTCCAATGGGTTGGGCTCTAGGCGGGCTCGAGCTGTCCACCAGGCAGAAATCCATGGGCCTAGTCTCCAGGGGCAGTGATGCAAGGCTGAAGTCATGGTGATGTCAACCACTAATTTTTTTTTTATAAATAATAATTAAAATTAATTAAAAATACAAAGAATCATAAAAAAATTAAATTAAAAATGTAAAGATCATAAAAACTTAATTAAAACAGAAAAATAAATAAAAATAAAAAATTATGATTTTTTTTTTCTTCTATAAGTACCTAACAATGTTCTTCCACCTTACACCACATTTCAATATTTTCAAATACTTTCAACCAATTTTATATATATTATCCGAAATTATTTATTATTATTTTATGATATAAAAATACTAATATTTTAATACGAATTACCTAATCTATTCATTTTAGATGTGGAGATGCACTTGGGCAATTACTAGGCAGAAATCCACGAGCCCCCAGGGGCAATGATGCAAGGTTGATGTCATGGTGAGGTTAGCCACTAATAAAAAATTATAAATTATTAATAAAAATTATAGAAAAATTAATTAAAATACAAAGAATTATAAAAATTAATTAAAAATACAAAAAATGTGTATAATAAAAAATATTAAAGATACAAAAAATTATTAATAAAATTGTGAAAATTAATTAAATACACAAGATTATAAAAAACTGTAAATTTTTTTTATAAATACTTAACCATGTTCTTCCAGCTTACGCCACATTTCAATTGTCACATCCCGACCCGGGCGGCACCACTTCCCGGGCCCGCTCCACCACCATAGCACGATATTGTCCGCTTTGGGTCCCGACCACGCCCTCACGGTTTTGTTTCTGGGAACTCACGAGCAACGTCTCAGTGGGTCACCCATCCTGGGAATGCTCTAGCCCCCTTCTCGCTTAACTTCAGAGTTCCTACGGAACCTGAAGCCAGTGAACTCCCAAAAGGCCTCGTGCTAGATAGGGATGAGAATATACATTTAAGGATCACTCCCCTGGGCGATGTGGGATGTCACATCAATATTTTCAAATACTTTCAACAAATTTTTTATTATTATTTGAAATTCAAATTAAAATTATTTTTTTATTTTACAAAATAAAAAGTACTAATATTTTAATATGAATTGCCTGGGCTATTTAGTTTTTGGATGGAGATGTGCTTTGGCAGGTATTGTTCACTACAGAAAGTTATTGTTCATTTAACAGGATTGAGTTGCCTATAGCCTAGGGGGCCTAACAACATTGGAACTGCTCTAAGATGGGACTAAGAAAAATTATAACTTATTATAATGTGGAGTTTATTCTGATACATAATTGGTCCTAAGTTGGGACAAAATTTTTTTATGACATTTTGAAGAGGTTTTTTTCTTTATAGAGATTTTACCGTACAAAACTTTTTCTCACCACTCCTTATTCAACAACGGATGAAAATCGAACCTTCAATCTCATCTAATTTTTTGATACAGAATATTTCTAGACTAGCAATTACATATCGGCTTGTGGGCTTTAATGACCCAAACGAGCATCAATGTCAACATGTCCTTAACTACATATTACACATATCAAAAAGATAAGCTGTCTTGGTTCGCATTTAGAGTGCTTTCAAAAGTTCAACCAAGAAAAGCTTATGCATGCTAATTAAAAGTTAAAAAGCTTCCTCTATTTATGTTAATTAGAGTGGTTTTCTCTGTTCTGAACAAACATCAAATAAAATAGATAAACATATAGTTAAATCTAAAGATATTATCTGCAACGTAGCATTAACAATATTGTATATATTTACTTGCAAATTGTATAAACAAACATAGCCAATGTCCCCAATGATCCTTTTACATTATCTAGAGCTTATATACCACTGCCTACTCCATTAGAATTGTCATGTAAAACCGAAAAAGAAAACACACATACACAATCACTATTACAAAGTAATTAAAGCATTGATACAAATTAAGCTTAAGCAACTCACTAACTAGGCAAATATAAAATATTGTTTGGTTTCAAGTACCAATCTATAGTACCTAATAGATTTTCGATATGATAAAGTTTTCAGACATTTAGTCAATATTTGGTAACATCAAAATATAATGCAGATTGGTGCTCGATACCAGTCAAATCACTCTAAGCATAAAACTGTGTTTCCATGCATATGCATTTACAAATTGACAGCAAAATTTCTACTATTGAGCTGACAATGGCACCCAAACTAGATTATCAGAAGGAAAGAAATGGCAGACCGGGGAGCTTCCAGGTTGAGTACCAAGCACACTGAACGCCACATGATCAGGATCCCACTGAGAAGTATCAAAGTGACAAACGGCAGCAGCTTCAACTTTCTCTCCATTCTCCCCAGCAAGCAAAACCTGATACAACCTGTTCTCACTCTCCTGGCTATGGCAGTAGAAAACTGCATAAGGGTAAGGCATGGTGTGGCAAGCAATCATTTTAGGAGCCCAGATCTCTTTGGGAGCTTCCGAAAACGTGTAGTTTTGCAAAAGGGTAGTTGAGTTCTTGAGCTGAATAGTGGTTAAGACTTTGAATCGGGTATTTTGTCCAAAGAGGGCAGCTACAAAATCAAGCATGGATTCTAATGAGGTAGCACAAAATTTGGCCTCTCCTTTGATGGGTTGAAGGTCACATTGGGTTAGTGTGTATTCCACGGCTTTGGCTTGGGTAGAGTCTTGGGGGAAAGAGAAGAGTTGAAGAAGGTATGGGAGGTTTGAGATTGAGGAAGGAATGGAATCAGCTTCTTTTCTGGCCAAAAGTCTTGGAGATGTGGAAGTTATTTTTTGAGAAGTATATGGGCATTTTTTTTCCTCGTTTGAGATCTTTTGGGGTGAAGAAAACATTTAGGGCAGGGTCCATGTGATCCATGTGAGATGATGAACGACCATCATCACCGCCTTGATGTAAATCAATGGAGTCTTCTTTTTTTATGTCTTTCCCATTTCCAAGAGTAATAATCTTCCTGCCACTGCTTCCTTGTGCATTCTGGAGATTATATTCAAACTTAAATCATTCAGAATACACACACACACACACACACACACACACCAACTCCTAACAAAAATTACAAAAACTAACCAAAAAATAGAAAATAAAAAGAACACAAATATAACAAAATATTTATGTTAGAAAAGAGAATTTCTTTACTTCTGTGTCGATGAATATAAGAAAATTCAAGAAACTTTGATGAATTGGTGAAAATTAATGCCTAAGTGCACAATAGGTACTTAAATTGATTCTCAGAAAAATAAACACAGAAAACCTTACCAATAAAACAAGTAGTGCGTATGAGACGAGGCTCCAAGAAACAAATGAAAGACGCATTTCTACTTCAATTGTCTTGATATTTTTTTCTTTCTTTCTGATATATCTGCATTGCAAGTAAGGGAGCAATACTTGTATGAAGAACTTAGATTAATGCAAGTGGAAATCTTTAAATTATCTTATTAAATTAGTATATATAATGCATTACGTATGCAAATTTTTTCCATTTGGTACAAAGGAGAAAATGAGTTTTTTTTTTTTTTTTTTCATGTCACTTTTTATTATTGTACTTCATTCATTATTTCTAGCACTATTGTCTTAATAATATTTATGTTCACTTGAAACTAGAAAGTCTCATGTTTGATTAACATGAATGGTGACTTTGATACTTAATTATGACCGACTCATTAGTCTACATTCCTTAAATATAATATTATTGTATGAAAAAAGAAAATTATAAGTTTTTTTTTTTTTTTAATTTGAAACAAATGGAAATGTAAAATATTGATTATATCCTTGTATAAATTAGTGTAAATTCTGTAGAATATCACTTGTATGGATTGTATATATAATAGAATGAATATCATCAAAATATATGCAAATCAAAACTTTCACTTGTATTTTCTTTTTCTTTGGTTATCATTGTTTAAAGGGTGGTGTTGTCCACACACATTTTTTAATTTTTGATCGTCGGATCGAATGAATTGAAGAAGATCAAAGGACAAAAATTAACAAGGAGTGTGAGAGGTGGAAATAGATGTGTGGATAGCATCATCCTTGTATAAATAATCATGCCGTTTATAAGACTTGAATTCGAACATTCTCCGGCTAAATGAAGGAATAGAACTCAGATGGAATGGGTTCCTTATGACAAACATGGCATTCCGGACCAGTTATATAAATTAGTGGCATGGGATCATTGGGGTGCCACAATCGCGGTGACCCGGTCGGATGGAACTCTCCCTCCAAATGGAGACTAGCTAAATGTCAATAAACCAAGCAAGGATGGTGAGTGTCAGATCGAAAAGAAAATTGAGTGGCTACTTTATATCATCAAGGGTTCTGCCTCCTTTAGACTTTGAAATGTTCCACGATCAGCAAAATCTTTAGAATTTTGTGAAACTGTGCTACTTGATGAACTTTGGTTGCGCTAAGAATTCAGTTCTGGCACTGTCCTTCACAAGTTTCTTCCATGATCTTATACTTTTTCACTCCCAGTAAGTTTAGTGAGCTTCTGAAGGGAGATGGAAGATGAAGTCAAAACGTGGGAAAATACTTACCACAGTACCGTAACGAACCCATTCATTTGATTGATTGATTCCATCATTTTGTCCATAGAAAAATTCATTACATATTTACTCTTTAACATGTGATTGTCATCATATTATCAATTAAAAAGAACGCAGTAATTATCTCTCAGAATGAGGCCTTTTCAACCATATAGTTGCTTAATTACTTGCTTGCTGATGGTACTTCACTTTACCAACAATCTATTTTGATATTATTTGTAAAATAAACTATTATCTGAAGCAAAAATACTTATTTCGTTTAGTGTTTTTTTTTTTTTTTTTCTTTTTCTCTCTTGCCTTTCATTTTTGTGGATTTGTAGAAAAAGGCGTTTGCTAATTTGGTCTAATGGTATCTAATCCTCATCTTATTAGATTTCTAAACTCAAGTCGCATTCACGATTGTTGTCATGCAATTTAAAAAAAAAAAAAAAAAGACTTTGTACATAAAATCTCAATAATTATGTAATTTTTGCTTTGGAAAAAGAACATATAAGTAAACCCTACCTAGTTTGGTTTTGGTTTTTGTTTATGATGGAGATGCGTCCTAGTTCATTGTACGAAAACTGAACAACTTCAGCTCTATTTATATACCGTTTTCTGTCAGTTTCAAACACCAACTAAATATCTTCCAAATCTACTGAGATAAGCACGTGAAATCTCCAAAGTGCATGAAAGAATTATGCGGTTCAATTCACACGCAGAACTTTGACCAAAACAAAAAATCTTATAGGCATCTCCAAAAATTAGTTTAGAAATATGTCAATACTCTCATTGATAGTCTGCCACCACTATACAAAGTCACTATCCTCACCCCGACAATATTCACATCAAATTGGTCATCGTGGCAAAAATAAACCTTTCAACGGATTAGAAATTCCTGAGAAAGAGATAAACATTAGCATCAGATAGATTAGATTGGTCAGACCATTCCAACCAATTGTAAGATTACATGCATATCTTAGACTACATTATAACCCACCCTTTTACCAGAACTTGAACGTAGAAACCAATATAGGCAAGGGCCTTCCAAAACACCTATTTTACTTTATTGATTACACTCCTAATTTTAATTATTTTGTTATTTTGTTTTATAATGTAAAATAATTAATGTTATAATGCAAGTTTACATCATTGTGTTCTGTGTGCCCCTTAATTAATTGGTGAAATTGAATTTCAACGATAATGTGTCTTTTTGCAACATGTATGTATACACCTTAATATAACGTGACCTCTAATTAATAAAATAACCTATATTATTATTATACAGGAAGAAAACCACAAAGTACAACTAGAACTAAAGTTGACTTTGTAAACTAACATGTACAATAGCTACTACATTATTAACTTGGATTATTGATTATGTTTATTTTGAATCTATCTAATTACGTATTCACAAATTTTTTTGTTTAATTAATGGTTGCCCCTTTTACACGACGGCAGGTGTTGTCCCTGTTAGTTTTGGAGGAATACAAATTTTTATTGGTATAATTAATTTTCCAGCTAATCGAAATTAAACTTACTAACTGTAAAACCCCACACACACATATACATACAGTTTACTAAGAGAGATCAAGCTCAACTCTACTAGCAAAATTTAATTATATAATATTGTTTATAAATTCTCGACCGTGAAGGCAGTTTGTTTTATAAAACGCATCCATATATATATATATATATATATATATATATATATTTTATAGATATTTCAGCAGTAAAAAGTCGTTCATTTTTTTTTTCTTTTTCAATTCATCTTTATATATCGACAATATACCTTAGTAAAAGTAAGTGAGTAAGAATGGTACACGAAAAAAGTACATATGGAAACCCACAGATATCTATATCTATATTTTTAGATATTTCAGCAGTAAAAAATAGTTCATTTTTTTTTCTTTTTCAATTCACCTTTATACATCGACAATATACCTTGGTAAAAGTAAGTGAATAAGAATGATACACGAAAAAAAATATATGGAAACCCACAGATATCTTCTCTTTTGGCAAAGGAGACATAGAAAAAAGAAAAGGAAAAAGAAGAAGAAGATGCATGCTACGTGCTCGATGGACCAAAAGGAGAAATAAAAAAATATATATATATATAAAAATAAAAAAAATAAAAAAAAAAGCCCTCAAAAGAACAAGCATACATGTTGACTTTAAAGAAAAAGAGCCAACCCAGCGTTTTGGTGGGCATGCACTAAAAATCTAATCGAACCGCCCTTGAGTTTGTCCCCTTGCTCTTTGGGGTGCCCTGTTTTTCTCAATTTGTAATAGAACAACATGGGAATTATCCTGCATGGAATAGAACAATAGATCCAGTCTGTGATTATTAATTAATATTTTGCAGAGTTTTTATTAGGACTGCTTGAATTAATATTATACTGTAATAAACAAAATGGTGATGTCAACGGTGTGTGTAGATGACTTTTGACATGTATTGTTAGTGGACATATATGTATTTTGTTATTATGACAAAATAAATATTCAAAGAAACACATCATTTTCTAGATAATATATAATGACTAAAGGTCAACTTGTAATTCAAAAGTTGAATTAATCTTTGAGCGTCTTTGGTGGATATGTCAGGATGACTCCATCTTCCATCACATAGTAGTGAATTACCAGTTAATCCATATCACGCAATACTTAATTACCTGAAACAAAAAAAGTTCCCCAACATTGGATGGATTAAAGAATAAATATAAACTAACTTAAAAGAAAGTTAATTGTTATCTAATTTGTGACGTAAAAGAAGCCTCAAATTCCCACCCTGGATCAATCTTCAAATTCACCTTTAATGTCATATATGTCTTTTGTGATAAAATTTAAAACTTGAAACTTAACAATTAAATGATAAGTTGAAACAATATTGGTGATGATGATGGTAGACTATGCTCAGCATAAATAGTTTCTCACTTTAAAAAAAAAAAATGAAAAACATTTAAAAAGAAACATATAAACATCATGACAGTGCTTTATTTTGAAAAACCTCTTGACAAATGAATAGGCAAATTGAAATTTAAGACAGAAATTAACCAATAATATCGTGGCCGTAGACAACAAGAAGTTAATTTCTCTAGTTAATCGCTTATATAGCATCTTCTTTCGAGTTATCTAAATAGATTCTTGTCTTTATTGACAAAACTTTCTTCGTGCTTGTTTTGCGACCCTAGCTGCACCCGCATGATCAGTTCATCAAACAAAGACACAAAGGAAGAGTGATAATGATTGAAAACTATGCATGTGACATATATATAAACCTTATTATGTAACTGATGACTGTGTGCACCTTTTAAATATAAAGGTCTCTGATATAGGCAAGCCTTTGACGTTACCATATGGGTTTTCTTTTAAGTTATTGTATCTAGGCCAACTTTCGCACTTGGAATACTTTAGGTCTTATAGGATTAGTGTTTGTTTAGTGTTTTGGTTCTTCCACATGTTTAACAAAAGATATTTATGCACTATACCAATGAACACGTTGCATCCTTAATATATTAACGGTGCTGATAATTTGTCTTTAATCTTAGTTTATCATTTGTGCATGTGCAATTTTATATCTAGAATATGAGTGGTGTCTGTTGGGGTCAAAACTCGACAGAGTCTTACTAGATTTAAAATGTATTTGTCTCAAGTATTGTTTGCATCTCAGTGCCACGTGATAGTTTGAAAGAAAGCGAATAGGTGTGTTAGTGTTGGAGGCTGTGAACAGACATAATGTGTATAGATTTGTGTTGTGCTCGTGCGTATGTCTGTCTTCTTAACCAAATGAATGTACATCAAATAGAACATTGATTGAGTTAAGTTCTTTTTATGCCTTGATCAACTGAGGACTTGAAATGTAGTGTGAGATAAGTTTTTGCCTAAGTTATAATTGAAATGAAACAGAAATAAAGACAAGAAACTGAATGTA